GGTTTTTACTGGTTCAATCTGATTCGATGTGAAGCTGGTTTTTAAGGAGAATTGGACCGGTCACGCGACCGGCTCACATTTGAACCGGCTAGTCTGGTCTGATTTTTAAAACAGTAGTTTGATCTCTCAAAAGGCCTAAAGAACTTCTCAAAATCCGTGCTAGATCATAAGAATTTTTTAATATCAAATTTCACAATTGAAATTATCCAATTGAAGCAAGCTTAATTCTAAATTAATTTAGTTTATCGACTTCATTTTAATATTAATTACATAATTTAGTGAAAATAAATTGATATGCTCCAAAAAAAAAAAAAGATCAATTAAAAATTTTCAATAAGGATCTCATGATTTATGATGAGATAGTCAGTCCATGCATTGTAAAATTCAGATAACAAAATCAGTTCTGATTCTTTCACTTAATTCCATCGCATTAAAATTCGTGTGCACATCTCTTTTGGGATTCTATCATAAATTCATCCATTCAATTCAAATCTCCATAAGGACTGATCTCAGCAAAACTTAAGCTCAATTTAGTACCTATGACTTTATTGAATAACTATAAAATTAATATATTTGGGATAACTTTTTTATTATTTTTTAAAATAGCTCTCTAGTTCAAAAAAATTTTGAAATAAAAATTTTTGTACTAAGAAGCTATTTTAAAAATAATAAGAGAGATTTTTTATTACTTTGCTTTTCATATTATAATCATAATTTTAATATGACTATCAATTTTTTGTTGGTTTCAAAAAAAAAAAAATTATTACAAAGTTATTTTCAACAACAACTTTAAAAATTTACTGAACTTTTATTAGGTCCGGTGTAAGGACGTAGAGGAACGTCCGGTCGGAGGCAAAATCCCGCCAAAAAACTCGGTAATTGCTCGGTATTGCTATGTATTATTTGATAATAACGAGGAATACCGCTCTATGAAGACCAATACGAGTTATACCGAGCTATGCCGAGCAATACCGAGTTGTACCGAGTTTTTTCTAGGAAAAACTCTGTATTGCTCGGTATAGATCGGTATAACTCGGCATTGGGTCTTCACGTGATGGTATTCCTCGCTATTGTTTGGTATTGCTCGGTATTTCTCGTTTTTTGGCACGATTTGGCCTCCGACCGGACGTTCCTCTACGTCCGGTCAGAGGACGTAAAATTGTTCAAATTTACTTTCTCTATAGCAACAAAGTAGTTAGAAAGTTGTCCCAAAGATAGCTTAAAATTCAGTTAATAAATGACATTTTTAAAATAAAGATTTTAAATTGAGCTGAAATATTTTTTCAAGACGTTTTCTATTTTCTTTAAATAAATTTATTTGTTTATAAAACAAAAAAGAAATAAATTTGACAAAAATCTTCTATTTTTAATCTCTTACAAAGCTGAAAACCCAATTTAAAAAAAAATAATAATAATAAAAACGTGATTTAAAAGAGTGGCTATCGTGGTACGAGCTGAGCCCTAAATTTGAATGCATATCTGTCATGTGGTGTTCAATTGTTCAAAGGCGCCACGCTCAACGTTACAATTAAGATTATTATTCAAAAGGGGTATGCTAAAAATTAGAAATTTAGATCGAGAATTTGACCAAATTTGTGTTTCATTTTAGAGAGAGATTATTACATGCGATCACCAGATCATCAATACGTCAATCAGGACATGCCACATCATCTAATAAATATTGGTACACAGTAACGATACATAGTGTATTTTTGACATGACATATTCTGATTGGTCTCCACAAAGCATCTGATGAACACACGTAATAATTTTGCAATCTTAGACTGCTTTTTTATTGCTTTAAAAAAAAAATTAGAACAAATATTTTTTGAATTAGAAATTTTTGAAGTAAAAAAATGCTTTAGAAAGCATTAAGAAAGCCACCCCAAATGTAACCTCGGTTCAAAGATCATGAGTAGGATTTGGTGTAATGAGAGGAGAATCTAAATGCTTGGAAGCTTTAGTTATGATTGCTTGTAATTAATTGAATAAATAAGAGTTTACTCAACCTAAGATTACCAATGGTGTTGACAAGTTAACTTATAAATATAGTCATTGTAAATAGATGGTCTATGCTAAGGCTCGATGTTTCGAACTTACGAGATATCGAAATTGGTAGGATCATCATCAAGATTCACAAACGAAGTCTAAAGATGAAGCGATTATCTAACTTCAAAATTTTTATAAAATAATTTGAACTAGTATAATAATTATATTACAAATTCTTCATGGTGACAATGATGAAGATTATCATAATTTTTAATTTAAACGGTATATATATTGAACCATATGAAATTATACATAAAACTGATTGTATTAGCACATGCTGATAAAATGTAACAATTGAGCAAAACATAAACAATCATTGTCATAGAAATATTTTTTTTGGACATTTATGCCTATTAAGATAAACTCACACATAAGTCACACACGCAAGACTCAAATACAAGACCTTTTAGTTGGCAACCAAAGCGCCCAACCAACAAACCAAGATGAGTTCCGTATATAAAAACATCTTCGGACTTCCTGCATAAGAATTATATTACATCATATAATTTTTATCTTCTAATTTCTTATCAAACATCTCTCAATTATTACAGATGATATATCATCAAAAAAATTATCTTGATCAGACATGAATCTCGAAGCAAAACCAAGTTGAAAATTTCAAAAACTAAATCGGGATCATTTGAACTCCAATTTCAGCAAACATATAGTCGAACTGAACATCTCAACGATACCAAATTTAACCCAATCTGAGCTAAAATGGGCCCAAATCAAAGACCCGAAGTGCATTTGGAAGGTTCAATTCATAATTTGGATTACTAAACAGTTTCCAAACGTGACATGTTTATAATTGAATCGAGCGGCTTGACAAAACGAATGCAACAAGCCCAAGATCATCAAGTTCTGATAGCATTAAGAAATTCAAATGTCCAGTAAACAGTCCATGATCAAGAGAATCAACATCGGCCATCCATTCAAACAACTCTTAATTTATCCTTGTTCTTTCTCCCATTTACTAGCTTTTCCTCTTTTCCGAAATTTCACATAAAATTTTGATGTATCTTATAAATACTACACCATCTCTTCTTATTTGATTGTGTGCTCGATCTTCGTACAAAACAAAGATGTTAAACTATATATTTCTCTATCATTGCGAATATTTTAGAACACAAGAACAAGATTTATAATTATTTATTTGTGAGACACAAGTCACAAATTAAATTAAATTAAATTGGTAATAACACGTGTTTGCATGGACTGATTCTGATACAAGTTTTTCCCATTATAATTTATTAGTTGCTAATATTGGTTTAACTTGCAGCACGAGGATTCCAGCCAACTCCGGCCTAATAGGCTAAATGGCTAATACCAGCTGGTCTATTTCGCAGGTCCATTTATGGCGTGATCGTAAGATTGCGAATAATTGCGGCTAATCATGCCCATCGCATTCCCAAGTCCCACTGCGCTGTTTTCCTAAACGACGACACACAGAAGCAACCAACTTCCTTAAAAGACAGGTTCTCTCTTCCGATTCAAATAGAAAGAACAAAGAAGGGGCAAGCAGAATAAAAAGCTCACCTTTGTACGTTTTTCCTCAGTTCCTCTGTCTCATCCGAAGCTCTTGGATATGGAAGTAGAGAGGGAGTCGTCGTCGTCCTCGTCTTCGCCTCTATTTTGGTCCCAATCGCAGAAAGCTCCCTCCTTTTCTGGTTCTCCACCTTCTTCTTCTTCTTCTTCTTCTTCTTCGGGGATACGAACATGGGTTTTAGTGCTTCTGATTTCCACCTTCGTCATTCTCTTTATCCCCTCTGTTCTGTCGTCTAGCTTTCGCGGCTTTCGTCCAAGCCTTGTGAAGAACGGATGGAATACGCTTAATATCGCCCTCGTCGTCTTCGCCATTCTGTGCGGTCTTCTTGGACGCGATAATGTTGCTTCCGGTGGTGGTGGCGGAGAAGATAGGGAAGAAGCCGAGAAAATGTCGGTGATAGCGCCGCCGCCGACGCAGTCTCAGGAGTGGGTGGGGATCGGATACTCCCCTGTTCCTGAGCAGAGTGTTTACGAGGTGAATCAAACGGTTGGAATCCGGCGGATGAGGAGCAGCAGTTCCTACCCCTATCTCCGGCCGGAGATTGACACCGGTGACAACTGGGGCGCGACCGATAGCTGGCGGTTCTCCGACGATATCCAGTTGTACCGGCGGCGGCGGCGGTCTGATCTACCCGAGTGGGAGATTTCCGGTGGTCCGGGAGTTAAGACGATTCAAGTGGACACTTTTGAGTTGACGACAAGCCCCTTGAAATCTCCACCGCCGCAGCCGCGGCCGCCACCGTCACCTCCGCCGCCGCCGCCGACGCAGCCGAAAAGTATTACTGTGAAGAAGTTACCACATACCCCGCCTAAAATCATGCCGCCTCTTCAGCCGGCAGTTCCACCTCCTCCGCCGCCACCTCCACCACCTCCTGTATTTGCGGAGCAGAGGAAGAATAGCCACAAGAAGCGCAGTGGCGCCGCAGCGAAGGACATTGCGACTGCCATCGCATTATTCTACAACAAGAAGAAGCGGAGGAGTAAAGTGAAGAAGATCCACGACGACGATTCGCTAATCTCCGCCTCGCCGTCAACTCCTCCTCCTCCTCCGCCGCCGCCGCCACCGCCACAGTCCTCCGTCTTCTCACAGTTATTCTCAACCAAGAAAGGAGGGAGTAAAAGCAAGAGATTCAATTCCATCTCCGATCACCGATCCCCGCCACCACCACCGCCTCCCCCTCCACCAAAGAAGGAACCCTCGCTCTTCTCCGACCACCGCCTTCCTCCGAGAAAGAAGAAAGAGAAAACACCCACCTTTATAAACACTTATCCAATCGCTCCGCCTTCCCCTCTCCCTCCGCCCCCACCTCCTCCTCCGACCTGCGATGACGATGGCGGCGACGCGAAGCCCGCCGATGAGGCAAAAGCGTCGCCTTTCTGTCCGAGCCCAGACGTGAACAACAAAGCAGACGTGTTCATCAAGCGCTTCCGCGATGGACTTAAGCTCGAGAAGCTCAACTCAATCCGAGAGAAACAACGACGGCAACAAGATCAGCCGCAGGAAAGGCAACTGGAAGCTGGTATAGAGATGGAGATGGAACAGCAGATCATGACTATGATGATGATCGGAATGGACGACAATGTGAAACTAATTTAATTTTTTTTTTAATCTGTTCATCATTTATTTATACTTTTTACAACAATGTTCGGTGTGCGAGTGATTAAATAAAATTGCGAAATTCACTGTAAATTACACTGCTGGCAGGAGAGCCAAAGGGCTGATCATTTGATCAGCTGCTTGAATTTTCAATATATAAAATATTATGAAAAGTTTATCTAAATTTTCAAATCAGCGTAAAATGTGGGTTTTTTTTCTTCAAAAGTGAACAAAATTATGTGATTTGAATTAACTATAGGAGACTATCCTTTCAATTATCATTAATCATTATTGAGAAAATAGTTTTCATAAAATTTTAAGAGTGTATTTGAGGAACAATTATTAGGTCCTCCGACTCGACGTAGAGTTACGTCCGGTCGGAGCTAAAATCGCGTTAAAAAATGAGAAATACCGAGCAAATACGGAGCAATACCAAACAATAACGAGGAATACCATCATGTGAAGACGCAATACCGAGTTATACCGAACTATACCGAGCAATACTGAGTTATACAAAAAAATACCGAGTTTTTCCTAGAAATACCGAGTTTTTTTTGCGGGATTTTAGTGCCGACCAGACGTTCCTTTACGTCCGGTCGGAGGACCTAATAATTGTTTGTATTTGAGAGGACTGTAATTTTTATAAAAATATTTATAAAATTATAATAAAAATAATAATTTTCTAAATATTATTAGTATTAACAAATATATAAAAATAGTAATAATTTTCTAGCAATTATCATAAAAATAATAGATATCCTAAAAAAATAAAATTTGCATAACAAATTTTTTTATAATAATAAAAAATACAAACTTAAAAAATAAAATAATGATAAAATTATCCCTAATAAAAATTTAATGGTTCCCTATTTTAGGATCACATGAAATTAGTGGCATCTTTGAAAGATCTTTGCTTCTATGATGGCACAAGTTATGATCAATTATGGGAATATATCTATGATTAGTTATTTTTAATGAACTAATTATTTTTTTTTAAATTGACTCAAAATCAATAATTAAATAAATAAATTACGTTGAACACAATCATATTCCAACTCAACTCAAAAGCCCTTTTAAGTGATAAATTCATAGATATTTCATATTTATTTGAGATTTATCATGTCCTAATAAGAAATTATGAGGTTACCTAATTGACTAATTAATGTTTGCAAGCTTCTGTGAACTATCAATTTGGTTGGAGAGAAGGCTTAGGTGTGAATTATGTGCTTAATTTAGGCTTCGCTAGGGACGACTTTTTGTTGTTTCTTAAAACAGAATTTTAGTACAAAAATTTAAATTTTTAAACTATAACTCTGCTTTAAAAAACCAATAAAAAGGTCTCTGATTAGTTTAAATGGATTTGTCAGCAAGTTTTATTAAGAAAGATAGTTAAGCATTATTTTTTGTATTCTTGAATGTAGTTTGGTCATCTAATGGTAATGGCCCACCTAATCACCATTTATGTTTACAATATGCTCAATATAATTATTGTAGTGAGCAAGATAATCGTTGATGAGAGCACAATGGACGAGTTCATCATCAATAAATTATAGATATTTGATAATTAGTTACAAGTAGCATCTGAAAGACTTACTGGATGTTAAAGAACAATGATTAATCTATAAATATGTATGGTTTATAATTCAAAGGCTCGCAGAATACTAGAGATTCATATTCAAATTATGAAATCTTCCTTAATAGTTATCCAATGACTCACAAGATTGTTGGGAAGTAGTGATTTATCTATGAATGTTAGGCATATGTTTTTTAGAGCTTTTGCAATCTAAGAGGAATCCCTATCAAATGTATTTAAAATAAGCCATATTTATAAATTTTTAGAGCACTCTTTAGTCTCATGTGAAATTTTCTTTGTAATTATTTATAATGGATGATGAAGATCATATCCTCTTATGATCAAGTCGTGATCAAATGATAGAGTCCCGTAACTTACTATGCCGCATCAAATATACAGAGGCTCCTATGATAAGTCGGTGACAACTACCAAATGTGTTACCATGTGTGATGACAAGATTAGCAATTTTAACTTAAACATGTTGTAGGAGAAGACGACACGTGCAATGGTGAATGAGCAAGTTTTAATGGACTAATTAACTTGAACAATTTCATAAAATTTCATCATCTATTGGTTGAATTTGGTCGAAATAATCCTCAACTCCTTGCCATTTCTACTTTGATCAACTCCTCTTCCAATGAGTAGCATTTTGAGGTGATCAATTCACAAAACTACAGTGTATTAAAGGTGCAATGAATCGATTAAATATTTATCTTTCTAGATGAGCAACATTTTGAGTTGCACAATAAGGAGCTCATGTTAACGCGATTAGATACCTCCAACATATAGGTTCCGATGAGACAGACTTGATAAATCTTTTTTTTTAGACCGACTTGATAAATCAATTTGGTGATTGCTCCACTATTAGGTTAGCCACTTCTCTACATGTGCCATATTCAAACACAAAGAAGGGAGAGGAATTAAGTCATAATATGTTTGAAATTTTGAATTTAGTTTGAGACGATTATAATATATGAATAATTTATCAAAATTTGTATTACACTCATATCAAAGCAAATATATGAGTTTTAAAACTAATCATGATCAAAATATGCTAAGAATAGTCTCACCCAATTTTTCCCTATTCAGAGTGTTTTCTGACTACCTTTATATATCAAATCAGTCCAAATCTTACACTAACTTAGTCCTCCGTATTATTTGATAAGATGTGAATCTTTATGTTCCAAACAATTCAAACTATTTCTCATGTTATTAGTTTGATGTCATAGGGCACTGGCTATGCCAATTCCATCTCAAAATCGATAGATCAAATCGACGAATATTCTCTCTCATCACGCATTGATTGGCTTGTTTAATGTGAAACTCAATCTACAATTTTGATTAAACAATTTGCTCAATAACAAATTGATTAATTTTGGCATGAAATTTTGGGTTTGAATTAGCCAGCTCATTATAACAACCTAATAACTTGTTGAGGGGTTTCCTCTTGGGCCCAACCAATTTGGTAAGCCAACCTGTTTCAATGGATGAATAGTATGACTAAAATAGTCCAATTAAAGCTTGCTTTTTTCTTGTAAAGTTGTCCTTTTCACCTAATATCTCATAGAGTAGAAGAACGCGGTTTGTTGGCTGTCTCATTGAAATTTTGACTTCCAATGTTATCAAAGAACCCTTTTTCTTCCTTCAACACAACTACTTGAAATGCTTTATTCATCTTCTCCTTCTACCTTGAGCAACTCTTAGGGTATATTCAGAAAATTTCAGAAATATTCGGAGGTAAGTATACCCACATCCAAATCAAGCAGAGCATATATATATATATATATATTAAAATAAAATAAAAAAGTAACCCCAAATAGCCCCCTTTCATTCTGTAAGCTCTGCTTGATTTGAAATTCAAAGAGAGAAAATATTATAGAGATTTGATTTTGCATAACTCATAATGCATCAATTTTGGCAAAAGTTCTCGTTATTATTATTTTTGGGCAAATATAATCCAAAATGCTTTTGGGACTAAAATAATCCAAAAGGGGTAATCTCTTGTGTTTGCTTGTTAATTTTTAAAGTCAAAATCCTTTGAAATTGGTTCTAATTTGTTCAAATTTGAACGTGTGGTCTATTCAAAAAAGTTTGAACTCGATTTAAACGTAAGTTTAAAATGAATTCAAACCATGGTTCACACCTCATTCAAGCATGTTTTAAATCAAATTGAATAAAGTTCAAAGTGATTTATGTGAGAGAGGAGGCTTGCATTCACATCAGGGAGAGTAGGAGACACTTGTCATGTTAGGGAGAGAAGGAGCTCATGATAGGCAATTGTCAACACGTATCTAGCGGCGATTAGTGCGAATCTTGTTGATGATTTAGTGTGAATCTAGCGGCGATAAGTGGAAGACCTCCTAGTGAAAAGGAAGTCATCATAGGAGCACATCCAATATCTAAAGGAGACATTCACCATACTAAAAAGGTAAAATATGCGACTTCATTCACTGAAGTGTATTTATAGTGCATATTTAGGTAATTTTTTTATGTTTCTCCTCGCTCTAATGGATAATAAATTCAATTTGAATAAGGCAAATGCTATCATAGAGATGTCACCACCCAAGACCATGAGGGATATGTAGCAAATCACTAAGCAAGTCATGAGATGTGCTCGCCCTTCTTTCAAGTTGTGAGGAGGCCAAGCATCTACATACATCAAGGAGTGTGAGTTAGCCTTCAACAACTAAAAATTCTTCCTCTTCTCGTCCCCACTATTGTAAAGCCCAAGGCTAGCTACCACTAAATCTTGGAGCCAATAAAGATGCCATCAGCTCCATGCTAGTTTGAGAAGACTGAAAAATGTGATGATATATCTACTATATAAGAAAGATATTGAGACGCCTCAAGCAAAGATATCCTAACATGGAAAAGCTTGTGTGGGCTCACGTGGTCTCGTTTTGGCAGCTACAAACTTATGTCCAAGCCCATTTGATTCAAGTTATCATTGACCATCACCTAAATGTTGTACTCGCCAAGCCGCATCACTGAAGGAGGCTCATCAAACGATCAGTGGAGCACAATATATTTAATCTCCAATATAATGTGGACTTCAATTAAGTCCTATGTAAATTTTCTCATAGATTTTAACCTCCCTGACTCTGAAAAAGGTGGCAACATAAGAGGTGGGCCGATCTTTGACACTACATTTAGATAGTGCATTAGGAAAACATAATGTAGGAGTGGGATGGTGTTTAAAATCCCCATAAAATTATTATTACACAAACCACTCAGATAGAATTTAAAGTCACTAATAATCAAGCTAAATACGACTCTTATTACAAGGATAATGTTTGTCATTGGAATGGGAGTTAGACAATTGATTATCTACTCAAACTCACAGATCATTGTAAATCAAATGATGGTGTATATGAAGTACGTACTGTTGCTCTAAAAATATCTTTTTTAAAGTTAAGGCATAGATCGATAAGTTCGAATATTTCAAAAATAACAAAAACCCCATATGGAGAAGAATTAACTTGCCAACTTGTTAGCAAAGTTGGATAACCCTGATGGGCAATCAATCCTAAAGGTGTC